CCTCGCCTGAGCCGAGAGGCTTAACACCACCAACAACAACAACAACAACCACAACAACAGCACCAGCAGCAGCAGAAGCACCACCAACAACAACAACCACCATCACAACCACAAGCACAACCACCACCGTCACCACCACCGCCACCGCCACCACTCACAACCACAATAACAATAACCACAACCACAACCCCAACCACGACCACTACGACTATGTACGACGACGGCCGACAACTCGAAATTCATGACTGAAGAAGATCGTACTTACGAGTACGTAGATAGATTAGAGCGACGAGGAACGTAGTCTAGTTGCCAAGGTTCTTGGGAAACGTGTCGTTCCAGACCACAACCGCTCCGCGCACCATCTCGAAAGGAGCTCGCTGCTCAGCGAGACTTGTGAAGAGACCTTGATCTGCACGAGCTACAGGTCTTCAGGTTCAATGTTAAATTTACGAACTTATATGCCTTGCGCTGGAACTTGGTAGGTGATTGTTGGAGTTTGTCCCACCTCAGGTCTCCGACACATGAAGCCTTGAATCCTTGAGCAGGGAATGTGCAGGCTAGTTACACTCCCCTGACCCACATAACCCATACCCTGTCAAACCCATGTATGACTCGCGTAGATACCTGAAAAGGCCCCAAAAGACAATGCTCCACACACTCCGAAGCCTATGATCGGGGAACTCCTGCCAAAGACCGCGAAGCATTCTTAACCACGTTGGGCGGAGTTCGTGAGTAGCTTACAACCCTGCCTTATGGGTTTAGGGTTTTAGGGGTTGAGAGTTTGTGTGGGGGCTAGGTTTGGGGGGTTGCGAGCATGCTGAGATTGTTCTTTTGCTTGGCTTCTGTGCTCTCCACTTCACTACACCCGACCCTAAAGCAACTGCATTGCCATGGAACTGGGAGCATGCTTGCATTCCACCGGTCGACAGACGAAGGTCTCCTTGGCTCTTGGGAAACAGCTTGCCAAAGTAGTCGGGTGTTTTGGGCTGCACTGGGCTTTTAACTTGTTGATAACGTGCTTGGGGATCCGATTGAAGAGTTCAAGTGACCGGGCTTGGGACTGGGGTGTTGAGGTGTCGGTTTTCGTCTTGGGCTCAATCTTTGGGTTTTGGGACTTGCAGGGCTTGTAGTATCTGTGCTTCAAGGGCTTGCTTTAGCATTCGAGCCAAGCCGTTCCGAGCGGCCTCACGAACCCAGCTCATCGTCAAAACCTTTGACGCCGAAGGGCAATGTGGCCTACTAGGCCCCAAAGAAGAACTCTCCCAGAGTTTCCAGGGACATAGGTCTGAGCATCAGAAGGGGTTCTCGTGGCATCGCTTTAGACTACAGCTCTCATAAATTAGTTCGGGGAAGGTACGTTGGGGTATATCGCAAAAGGGAGGGGAGGAACAGTAGGAGGCAGGGTAGGTCCGAGTCGCCGGAAAGAAGCTGCCGAATTGGCAAACCAGTGTGCTGAAGCCACGAGCAACCGGCAGTGTTCCATTGTTGCAGCTCGGAGTGCAAACTCCACCATCGGCAATCACACTTCCTGGGTGTGTGTGTGTGTGTTTGCTTGTTTGTTTGTGTTTGTGTGCACGTCCAGCCTGATGGAAATGTATCCGCTTATTCACAGAAGCCCCGCAGCCTTCTCTGCAGCTTGGCTCGTTCGCCTGGGAAACATTCGGTGCTGCACATTGGGCGGAACCTGAGCTGCGTGTATGAACACAAGGCTTACCCTTCTAGAGCCAGTTAGAACGCCCTTCTAAATCTGTTACATATAGAAAGCAGCTCACTGTGTGGGCTACACTGAAGGGCACTTGGGGAGGAGAGAATGTAGCGGACACTAGTGAGCAGCTAACGCGGCCACGCTGGAACTGTTTTCCTGCCGCCTCTGCATTTGGTTCCCCGATCTTGAGCCACCGGATCGGCAGCGCAATCCCAGCGAGTCACATGACAGGTCTGCTGCATGTCTGGTCAATCATGGTCTCCTAAGGCAAAAGCTTCACTCTGACAGCACCCCCTAATAAGAGTTGACCAGAATGTCAGCCCCTGTTCTTCATACTCGCGAGCTAGCCTAGCTACCGACGCACTGTGGCTTCTGGACTTGTTCCGGGGATCACTGGCTCGGGCAGCTATCTCTGCATCAACATCCACAAGGCTGAGCTGACCGCTGCGCAAGAACTGATCCATGGCCCCGTTGGCCTTCAGCGGGTCCACCTTGGTGAGCACGTCGACGACCATTTTTTGGTGAGGAACCCACCGCACCATAGAGCGCGTTTCTTGCAGGTCTCGAACTATTATCGCCAGTTCTAACGCGCTCCTTCGGTCTTGTTTGCCTTGGGGATGTTCTTTCATGATGCAATCGTACAGGCTTTTCGCATCGGTGACGGAACACTGTGGCTGCCTCTCGGGAACGTGGAGGTCGCCCTTCATGATGATCATGTGCGGGCTTAGCCAGTTCCTCCACTGCTTGAGCTCCACGTCGTGCTGGACAGCGTCTCGCACCATAATCTGGAGCCAGTCAGCCTGCGAGATGCCTTGCAGCATTGCTTGGGTTTCGCCACCGAAGGTAGAAAAGACTTTCCGTCGAAGCTTGCTGCTGCGCCATGCCAGTGGGCTCGCCTTGACCTTCATGTTCCCAATCGGGAGAGCCTCCGCTGCGAAGACCATCCAGGCCCCTTGGGTACTATCCGCCGGGAGGTCCAGCTCGTCCGTGGTGTCGTGCTTGGCCCCAACTCCGCCCGCGTCTGAGATAACCACGAAGGCCATCTCCCGAGTGTCCATCTTCCAGATCGTCAGGGGACGGCTCGCCGTGTTCCTCAGGAAGTTAATGTTCTTGTTCAGGACCAGAACATCCTCGATGACGGCGGACTTGAGCTTGCTGGCCAAGATCGATGCCATGCCCGCGACCTCGGGGCGCGTTTCCTTCGCCACCCAGTTCACCTTGTAGATCGCTGAGCGAAAGGCTGCAAGACTTCCGATGCTTGGCCAGCGCCACCGGTCTCACCTGCTCGGTCAGGTACTTCTCCTGGTCGACGTGAATGAAGCCCGGTCGGACTTTGATCATTCGGCCGGCATATTCTGCTTCATTCTCTTCCCACTTGCCGAAGGTGAAGCGGGCCTGGAACGCCTCCTTGAGCTTGCTCTGGAGCTCCGGCAGGGCCGTCACGATAAAATCGTCCACTTCAATGAGCACCTGAGCTTCGTTGGTGCCATGGCGATCGAATCTCGACCACCAACACGGTTCCACCAAGTTCCTGACGAAGCCTTCCCGCTCCAAGAACGAGACCACGGTTGCCCTCCATGCTGCCGGGGCGTCGTCAAGCCCGTACACGGGCACGTCAATAATGATCAACGCGTCAGTGCCGAGGCGGAGCCCTTCACAGGGCTGGGCAAACAGCGGCCCACTTTTCCTGACCAACTTGTCACTTTGGCAGAACGCATTCTTGACATCACAGAATGCGAAGGTGTGGCTCAGGTTGAGGCTGACCTGGAGGAATGCCATGAGCCCCTCGCTCGATGGGGTCGGAGCAAAGGTAACCAGTTCGGCGGTATCTGGATCCGAGTGCCCCGCCAAACACCAGCGGATTTCGGTTTCCATTTACCGATCCCCGGGATCGGCTTCTTGCGCCGCACCATGCGCGAACTCAAGATGCGGTCAGGGTACTGGCGGCGTAGCTTGGCTGCTTCCTCGCCATACACCACTCGGACCGCACCCGTCTGAAGAATGGCCTTCCACTCCACCTCATCGCTCTGGTCAAAAAGTGCTCGGTCCTCCTTGCTCATCTTGCGGATGTCAACTTCGTCGCTTCGGCTGGCCACCAGGTTCCACTGTAGATCTCCTCCTGGAGCCGGGGACCGTGACCTGGAAGGAGAGTGGACACGATCTCCACTTCGCTCTCGATCACGTCCTCGTCGAAGGGTCTCCAACAGCTCCTGGATGGGGGTGCCAGGTGCTCGGACTGGGTCAGAGCTGCTACCCGGCTCCTCGATCCTTGGATGCTTTGGAGTTGGCTCAACCGCCTCCGCAGGATTGGGCTCTTGAGCTGGTTCTTGAATCGAAGAGCGCCTAGGAGTGGTCCGTGAAGTCCAGGAGGCCGAGGTGGAAGCGGTCCTGGTGCTTGAAGAACAGGTTGTTCATCCGGGATAGGCAACAGCCCTTCGGCAATCGGAGTCACCTCTCTCGGAGCTTGTTGTGGCATAGGTCGGGAGTCTGGACTTTCATTGACTCTGTGTGTCTCAGCGGGCTCCTGTTCTCCTGGAGGAAGCTGGTCGACTGGCGCCACGTGGTCTCCTTCTTCTGGCGGGCCTTCCCGGGTCACATCGATGGCTCCAACGTCCTGCCCAGAGACCACTCGACGAAGCAGCTCGCCGAGCTCTGGGTCTGATGCCAGTTGTCTGCCGAGAACTTCCGATGGGAAGGCGGGTCGAAGCTGCTCCGGGGCACACCGCCACAACCTCGTCCTCATAGCCACGTACACGACCGAAGGTGATTGAAGACCAACGATCCCGGGTCCCACCCAACGCGAAACAGGATGGAGTACATCGTGTGGCCGCCCTCTGCGGAAGCAGTACACCCATTGGCCTGGATTCCAACTCCTCACCGGTGTGCTGGAGGTACGGGCGGCTCTCTTGAAGGCTTCTCGACTCGTCTCAGCCAAGGCAAGTTGCCTCGCACGTTCGTTCCCGGATAGCCATGCTTTTCCGGAGTTCTGCGCCTGCCTCATCAAGACCTGCCGGATCGTTGAAGGCGTCACAGAGAGGTTGAAGTCCTGATGGATTGTCCGAGAGCAGCTCGCCAGGTACTCGAGGCATTTCCCCAAACACAAGCTGGACCGGCGTGTATCCGCCAGAACAAAACCATCGGTTCTTAGCGGCCGTCGTGGCGGCCAGGATCTCGTCCAGGTCGTCGAGGTTCTCGATCACGCTCTGCCCAGACTCCAGCTCCTGAATCATCCGCTGCTTCAGCCAGCCTCCGTGTCGCTCAGCTCGACTGTTCTGCCACGGGCTGTCCGGGGCGGTAACATGATGGAGAGTTCCCAGCTGCTCGACGCCTCGTTCAAAGCGCCCCTGAAACTCCTTCCCTCCGTCTGTGATGACCATGCTTGGAGGTCCGAGAAACCTGACCCAAGTGGACAGAAAAGCCTTCCAGGTCGCCGAGGACGATGGTGTTCCTCCACCAGTACCATGGATGCGGTGCGCGACCTGATAGTTTGTCCCGTGACAGACCACGTTGAGAATCGGTATGCTGCTGCCCTTAACGGGCACGTAGAACACATCCACGCTCAGCACCCGATTGAAAGAGTGCACTCGTGGACATTGTCCCTTGCGGCGGTGATCAGGGAGCCTCTTCGCCGCGCAGGTTTCGCACTCAAAGACATCGCGAATGTACTTCAAGACGTGAGGAAGTGCACCCGCAGCTCGAAGAGTCCGCAAGAATCTCTCCTTCGGGGGGTGTCCCGTATTCTCGTGGAGCTTTCGAACGAGCCGCTTCTGGCTCTCCGTGAGCTTTGCCTCCGTAGTGTCGGAAGCTTCGGGTCTGGCCTCTGACTCCTCGTCCTCGGAGTCGGTGTCCTCGCCGCGGCTGGGGCCGAGAATCTCGTCGGCAGAGGTCGTAGCAAAGGAGTAGCCTGACCCGGTTGCCCCTGTCGATGCCGTAGTAACAGCGCAGCAGTCCTGTGCGGTCTTGCTGGGAAGGATCGGGGCTCCCTCATAGCCCTGCAAACTAAAGCCAAAACTCTCGAGATGGTCCCGCTGCCCAGAGGAGAGGCTCTGAGACGATCTGGTAGTGAAAGCCGTAATAGACCATCTCTCACCCTCATACTCCTCTACGGCGTGGTACTTCTTGGGGTCAAACACATTAAGTCGCCCTTGGTGCTTCACTACCTTGCCAGCAACGGAGACTCCTGACTTGAGCTTCTTGAAGATGGTTCCCTCGGGGCTCTCAACCCAGAGGTCTCCGCCCTTGAACTTGCCGAGGGCGATGCAGTAGTTCAGGTTCACATTATGGGCGTCACGATGTGGACGAACCGCAGCGTTCTGCGTGATGGAAATGCTCGACCTCGGGCCGCTGGCTCCCTGGGCAGTGAGGAAATCGTTCAGGTAGAGCGTGGTGAACTTCAACTTGTAGGTCCCAAGGTGATGCCAGCGAAACGTCCATAGGAGTACTGGCCGAGGACCTGATAAGCTCCTGGGGTCTGTACGGAGATTCGCTTGCTCGCGCGAGCGGGCCAGTCGGTGATCCTCAGGAGCTCCACACACGAGCTATGAGAGAAATCTCCTCTCTCTCGAAGACGATAGGCAAACTTCTCGCCCGGGCTGAGGGATTCCCAATCAGAAGGCGAAGGCTTGATGGTGCTCGGGCTCGTCTCACTCACCGCTCTTGGCGCTCTCATAGAGGCATTCCTGAGAGCCCCTTGTCACGGACGTCTCGGGCATGAGGATGGCGGCCTTGAGGGGGATGTTCATGTTTGTGGCACATCGCCTTCTTCTGTCCTCAGAGCCGCCGACGCGGATACCGCCATGGTCGACCAGAGCGACCCACTCGGCGCTAGTCCAGAACTCATCGTCGTGGTTGACCTCGATGTAGAAGTGCCTGCCGCTCTCGACTTGCGTCTTTATCGCCTCCAGCGCAAAAGTGACGTCCACCCGGTGTCGCACAAGGACTTCGTGGCCGTCCGATGCTTGAGGCACGGATGCAAGTAGCACTTCTGGGCGTCGGTGCCGGATGAAGTGCCTGAAACGCTGACGATGCTCCTTTCGACCACTTGACCATTCTCCTTGCCGGGTGAAGTCCTCGTGGGCGGCTGATACTCGAAGACCAGCGGCCTGCGCGATGGCATTCGGCAACATCGTCTCGAAGAGGTTGATCACATCGACCTGTGACCCGAATTGGTGTCGCCGTAGTTGCTGAGCCATGCCGATGAAGGAGTTCTCCGCGCGGCTGGCCTCGAGGTCGGGCTTGTCTTCTAGCTCGATGTCGCTTCCTCCAGTCACCAGCTCAGTCAAAGTAGGTGCCGTGAGAGTCCAGAAGGGTCCAGTTTGGCAGTGTTCCCCATCCTCGTTGAAACCGACGGGGATGTTCTCGACGCTGACACTGTCCTGAAGGGCTCGAAGGGAACGGGGACAACACCAAGTCTTAATCACGGCGGCCTTGGGAACTTCAGGGGGAGCTGGTCCGGGGCCGCGGCTGCCAACAAGCTTTCCTTGCCGGACTTCATGCCAGATCGCATCTTCGTCAGGCTCGGCCGGTCCCTCTCGTACATATGTCCAAGGCGTCTTAGTCCACGGTGGAGCCGACATCTCAGCGACCCCTCTGCCTCGTGGAACGCTGGTGCCGAAGGAATGATGCAAAACCCACGCGCCCTCGGAGTGTCCCCAGCCCTTCAAGAGGCCTTGACACTCTCCACTCAACTGATCCCATGAAAGTAGACTCGATGTTAAAGTCAAGGTGGGCAGCATCATCCATCGCGGCCATTTCACTGTGGCAGGTCGGCGGCATTCGGGTTGTCCACGGGTGCCCAGCTCGCTTGGCTCTCTCCTTCCGGAGACTCCGGTTCCAGGCCCATCTCTTGATCCACCGTGTTCTCTGCGGCCTGGGCTGCCTGGGCCAGGGACATGCTCTCGATCGTGCTGGGGAACTGGCCATGCATCATCGTCAACATTTGTCCTTGTCCTCGAGCCAGTTCGCGGAGAGACTCGCCCACCTCGCGGAAGCTCGTCATCATGGCCCTCAGGGTGGAAGCAAGCTCCGGATGCACTGGCTCCGTTGGTGGCAGCTCCATGGACCCCGAGCTCCTCGTCGTTCTTGTGCGCGCCTGAGCCACCGCCTCCGCCGGATCGGGAGGAACTTGATAGCCGCCTGCTCGAGCTCGTGCCTTTGCTTTCCCCTTTGGCTGAATGTGCTTGGACACGTAAGTCAGCCGGGCCGAACACTTTGGGCATACCGTCCACGTGGCGTACTGATTGGCCCTTCGTATCGGTTGTCCGGGGTGCAGGCATGCGGCCGGCTTTTGCGCGTCCATCAGCAAGTAGTGGTGCCTCTCGGAGAGGAGGCTCTTCTGCTGTATCTCCGCCGCTGCCAACCTCGCAAATCTTGCTCGGATATTCTCCAGCAGGTAGAACATCTTGACCACGATGCTCCGCCATAGCTGGGTGATCCTTCCACTCTTCTCTGCGTGACCCTCGTAGGGAGTCGCCGAGGCCGCCGTCGCGCGAGACGGGAGTTCCATGTTCACGGCCAGGGGCAGAACGTTCGAATTGGGGACTACACGAAGTAGACTGATTGCCCATCGGGGCGATTGAACCTGAAGTTGCCGGCACACGAAGTTGTCCATGATCGCTCACGTCACACTGCAAGGCACTCACGTGATCATCAGACGTGTGACTCATGAACTGCTGCTGACTCATCGCGGGCATCAGGCTGCTGCCGTCTTCACTGCTCGCTCCCACGTTGTCCGGAACTCGACATGTGCGCACCTCACTCTTTTTCATGTAGGCGGAAGAAGCCGAAAGAGTCTTGGCAAAAGCTCCGTCGCTCAAGCCATGCTGGTTCTTGACCACTTGTGGGACGGGAAAGTCGCCTCCGGGCCACTCCACTAACGGGACGGCACGGTGGCCGCTCGGAAGATTCACCATCTTCATGTCGACGCCGATCGTCTGGAAGTTCACCATGTTGGTGGTGAGATCCATCGCCGTGCCCAAATGCTCCAACAGTCCGACTGACAGGAGCGGCGGGATGTTCTGCTCGATCACCAAGAACTGGATCACGCCGGGTACTCCGCCCGGAGAAATAGGCACCAGCATGGTGTGCGCAACCTTGGCTGCGCCGCCAATACCCGTCGGGGCCCTCGCGGTGGTCGGAATCTCCACGGCCTGCAGTCCACATCGGCCAAGTTCTCTTTCCAAAGCGGCAAAGGCCTCGGTCCCGATGATGTCCTGGGTCGCGCCGATGTCGAGGATAGCCATCCCGGACGGGATGGTGAGGAAGCACCGAGTGGGGTCGAAGGTGACCTTGCTCTCGCCGTACTCGATGCCGGTCGCCGCGACCTCCTGCGAGAAGACCACGCCAGTGAATCCATTCGTGGCTCCAGACAGGGAGCCTCCGAGGTAGCAGAAGTTGCTCAGCTTGGCTCCAGCCTCTGGTCGTGGAGTGCCTCGTGACCTGCAATCCTCGGCCCAGTGCCCACGCCGTCCACAAAGTCGGCACTTCGAAATCTTCTTGAGCTGCTCCTTGGAAAGACGTGGACGTCCAGTTCCTCCATGTCCCTCGCCCGTACGGTCGTGTGGGCGATCATCTGGAGGTCCCTTTACGAAGCTGCGGCGGTCCTTGCGCAGCTCCTGCTTGAATCGCTTGTTTTCTTTCCACGTCCTCCTGGGCCGAGGCATCCTGTTCTCGACGATGGCAAACACAAGGGCCGCCTGCTCCTCAGAGAAGCTCAAGTCTGTGAGCTCAGCCAGCACGCGACAGTCCTCGTCGGTCTCATCGCCGTCGTCGCCGGAGGGCTCGTCGATGAGGTCCTCCGGGTTCCCGGTGTCCATTGCCATCCAGCTTGCCTGATCTGACGTCCGATGCTCCTCGGGTGAGTGGACAAACCCGGTGATGCGGTCCTGCCGGGTATCCATCCTGGCCAACACCTGAGCAACTCGGTCCACACGATTGTCATCACCCTGCAGCAAGGCCGTCAAGTTCTGCAAGCCCTGGTCGTTGAGTCCTGCTCCCTCGCGAAGAAGAGCTGCTCGGAACTCCTCCGGAAGCTGGACCCCATAGGTTGCCGCCTTAGTGAAGTCTCGAACTCGACGAGAAACATACTGACTCAAGCTTTCGTCCTTGCGGCGACCATTGTCGTGGAGGACGGACTTGAAGGCTGCGCGTTTGTCGTCGTCCTCACGAACTCCAGCCTTCATCTCGATGATCTGGAGGATGTGGTCCAGGTACTGAGGTGATGCAAGCTGGGCCTCGCTGAGGTGCTCGAACTCCACTTGCATCTCCCAGCCCAAGGTCCTGAGCACTTTCTCCGCTCTTCTCTCGGTCGGGATGTCACTCGCCTTGTTCCAGCGACGCACGGCTGCCACCCATTGGCGTCGATACTGCCATCCTGGCCATGCTGGAGGGTCGGAAAACTCGCCCTTCCACACAACTCCCTGAGGATGTCCATGCTCCATAGGGGGCCAAGTTGGGGGGCCTCCCTGGCCTGCCGATCCCCAAGCTCTCCCATCTCCTTGAAGAGGTGCTCCCGGGGCTTGAGGTACTCCTGGAATTAGTTGTGAAGGCCACGCCGAAGGGTACCCCGTCGGGGGCGTCGTCTGAAGACCTGGAGGTGCCATAGCCGAGGGGTGCCCGGGCCATCCATCTCGTGGTAGAGGAACTCCCTCAGGGGATGGCGCTCCGCCCTTTCCTGAGGTCGTCATCGCCAGGTTCTCTTCAGCTCCTCGAACTCGAGCTGCAGCCCCGATCAAGTCCCTCGCAGCCTGCAGCCAAGGATCCACTGGCTCAGCTTCGGTTCGTTGTCCTTGCGGCGGATCGAGTAGTGGAACCGGTCGGCCACCTTGGGAGCTCGGCGGAATCGTCGAGGATCGCGCAAAAGAGCTCGAAGCGTCGGCCGTGGCTGCAGGATCCAAATCGTCGCCAGCAGGAAAAGAAAACGCTGGACCCATCACTTCCCCAGGATGGCCCATGTAGCCCCATGAGTGGCCTCCCCAGGAGGGAGAGGGGGTCGCCAACCACGGAAATGCAGCTGACGTGGCTCCTCCGTCCTGGCCACTCCATACTCCAAAACCAAAACTTCCTTGAGGGAAACTCGCCTGCAGAGGTGGCACCGAAGTCGTCGGTGGCGCAGCTGCCCAACTATGCATCATGGCAGGGATTGGGCTCTAGGAGACCCGGCCTATCTAGCCGGGCTCCGCTACCAACTGTAGCGGACACTAGTGAGCAGCT